CCAGCAGCATCCTCAGGTGCTCCCAATACCGTTCAAGGCCACCCCTTAAAACTAAAATCCTACCCTAAACCCTAAACCCTAAACCCTAAACCCTAGCCCTAAACCCTAAAACCAGTTGAAGGTGGCCTGCCTCGCAGGGGCCGGGCTGGTCCAGCATGCCCACTAGTACGAACCCTCTACTCACATAAACCCCATCAAGCAAAGATTAGGGTTCAGGGGTCTGTAAGGGTTTAGGGTTAGGAAACCTAAGCCCTAAACCCTAAACTCATCCCTAGTCCCTCATCCCTAAGCCCTAGTATTTGTGGATTAGCATCTGAAGACTAAGCGAGAGGCCCAAGGCTTCCAACAGGTTGTTCTTTGGACCGCGCGCACGACACCACGACGACAGAAGTAATAGCTTAAGGATTGAGGCTTTAGGGTCCAGGCTTTGGGCTTTAGGTCTAGTTATGAACCTTCAGGGTCTACGTTGCCTTCTGCAGCTCTCGCCCCTAAACTCCAAAACCCCAAACCCCCCTCAAACCCCTAAATCCTTGAACCCCTACAACCCGTTTAGGGTTTAGGGTTTAGGGTTTAAGGTTTAGGGCTTAGAAACCCTAAAACCCTTAGACCGTGAAACGGCTCGAAGCATCAGGCGAAAGCTGCCCTGACGGCTGCGAAGACCAATGCCGCAGCCTTAAGCAATCCTCTACCAGCATCCGAACTATTGCTAGGATTGAGGGTGTTTACGGAACCGTCCCCCCACCCCCCCCTCCTCCCCAAACACAAACACCTAAGCCTTTCCTCGCAGGGTATCGGTTGGATACCCCCAGCCTCACCCCCCCCCTCCCCCCTGAACAAATCTAATCATACTCTAACCATAATAGCTTATGTGACCCTAAGCCCTAAATCCCTAAAAACTTAACCCCTAAAACCCCTAAAGCACTACACCCCTAAACCCCTAATTCCCTGAGTTCCTGACCCCAAAAAACCCAAGACCCTGAACCCTAAACCCTAAACCCCAAACCCTGAACCCTAAATCCTAAACCCTAAACCCCTAATAGCTCCTGGCCCGATGTCCTCTGCCACTCTCGGGCACTAAGCATCCCGAACCCCTGCACTGTCCAAACCCTAAACCCTAAACCCTAAACCCTAAACCCTAAACCCTAAACCCTAAACCCTAAACCCTAAACCCTAAACCCTAAACCCTAAACCCTAAACCCTAAACCCTAAACCCTAAACCCTAAACACTAAACCCTAAACCCTAAACCCTAAACCCTAAACCCTAAACCCTAAACCCTAAACCCTAAACCCTAAACCCTAAACCCTAAACCCTAAACCCTAAACCCTAAACCCTAAACCCTAAACCCTAAACCCTAAACCCTAAACCCCAACCTAAGCTCTGATCGTTCAGCCACAACCCTAAACTTCAAGCCCTCGAGATGAGGGGCCTTAGGGAGGCATTGGTTAGTGGTTTGCGGGTTTAGGGTTTAGGGTTTAGGGTTTAGGGCTTAGGGTTTAGGGTTTAGGGTTGTCCAGAGCTTAGCAGCAGTGGAAGATGTAGATTCCCAAGTTGCCGAAGTCTACTTGAGAGACAGGACTGCTCCGTGTCCGAGTTTGCAAATGCCTTCGCGTTGCTGAGCGACACGTTCCCTCCCTAAAATGAAATCAGTGCACGCGCCAAGCCTGAAGACCAACTCTGGGATGGCTTTCGACTTTTTCCCACATGCAGTGTCTAGGGTTTAGGGTTTAGGGTTAAGGGTTTAGGGTTTAGGGGCTTCTTCTTTTCGGGAGGAGGGGGGGGGGGGGTTGGGGCGGGAATGCCCTTTGTCTACGCATGTCCGGTACCTGCAACCGACTTACAGTGTTAGGGTGGCCTGGTGGTCCCAAGGCCAACGCAATCCACTGCCCGCCTTTGCTGCAGGCCGGGCTCACGCAGACAGTGTACCTTAGGGGGTTAGGGTTTAGGGTTTAGGGTTTAGGGTTTAGGGTTTAGGGTTTAGGGTTTAGGGTTTAGGGTTTAGGGTTTAGGGTTTAGGGTCAAAGGCTAGGGGGCTTTGTAGGGTTTATAGGGTTCATCGGGCAAGGCTAGATTCAGTGAGTGTTAAAGGTTCTGAGTTTTGTTGGGTACCTCGGCATCTGCGCCCTCAAATTTGCCCCCAAGCGCCCACCCTGAACCCCAAACCCTAAACCCCTAAGCCCCTAAACCCCTAAACCCCTAAGCCCCCAAACCCCTAAACCCTAAACCCGAAACCCTAAATCCCTATCGGCCTTGCAAATCCGCACCCGGCACCGCCCCAAGCCCCATGAGACCCTGCACTTAGTAAGTCGGGTTCTAAGTGCCTTAATTGGGGGTCATAAGCATTTTTAAGTTGGGGGGAGGGGGGCGGAGAGTCCCAGACCCAGAAACTTCTGGGGTGGGTCAGCGCCCTCTAAAAGGGTTTATGGCTCATATATGTACCTTGAAAGGATTTTAGTAGGAAAGGGTATATATGTTTTAGGCCAAGCGGCACGGGCCGGCCCCCGCCCCCGAAAATACGAACACGAATTGTCTTATCTTTCCCTTATATCTTTCCCTTATACCAACAGTCCTTACTAGGGATTATAGTACTCCCTATTGTAATCCCTATTAAGGACTGTTAGTATAAGGGCGGAACATCCCAAATTAGAAGTATACTTACCTTACTTACAAGCCCACTTACTACGTCCCCTGATCCTTTATGTGAAGGCTTTATAGGGTTTCGGGAACCCGAAAGCCCCCAGGCCCGTGAAGCCGAATGCGCTTAAGCCTACAAAGCCAAAAGTCCTAAAACTCTTGCTTGCTTGGGCAATCGTAGAATTTTAAACTTCTTGGCTTCCGGACTGCTAGTACAAGAGGGAACATCCCAAGTAGGACTAGTAAAGCTTCACTTAACCCTAAACCCTAGACCCTAAACCCTAAACGCTAAACCCTAAACCCTAAACCCTAAACCCTAAACCCTAAACCCTAAACCCTAAACCCCTTTTCCCCTTGGCGACTGGAGAAGTAAGCTTAGGCCCTGGAGCCCTGAAGACCCTAATGCCCCAAACAAACTCTGAACCGTCATCCCCGAAGCCCTCAGCTTCTAAAACTTCAGGGTCAGGGTTCAGGGTTCAGGGTTCAGGGTTCAGGGTTCAGGGTTTAGGGTTTAGGGTTTAGGGTTTAGGGTTTAGGGTTTAGGGTTTCGGGTCTAGGGTCTAGGGTTTAGGGTTTAGGGTTTAGCGCTTAGGGCTCAAAAGGCCTTACAAGCCCGCAGAGCCCCAGAAGCCCCCCTGTCGAGGCAGAGATCGACTTGCTCTCCGGAGTGCTCAGTGCGCGGGAAAAGGACTTCTGGGATGGGGTTTAGGGTTTAGGGTTTAGGGTTTAGGGTTTAGGGTTTAGGGTTTAGGCTTTAGGCTTTAGGCTTTAGGCTTTAGGCTTTAGGCTTGGGTCTTGGGGCTTGGGGCTTGGGGATTGGGGTTTGGGGTTCATTGTTTGGGGTTTGTTGTTTGGGGCTTGGGGTTAGGGTTAGAAGGCGTCAGGGGTTCCTCAGCCCCTGAAACGGCACCTGTTAGGGTCAAGGGCATGGAGTTACTAAAGTAAGGTTTTTTTTTCGAGTCTTTTGAGCTATTAGGGTTCAGGCAAACCCTAAACCCTAAACCCTAAACCCTAAACCCTAAACCCTAAACCCTAAACCCTAAACCCTAAACCTGAAAGCCCCAAGTTTTTTTGTTCAAGCCCCAGTCCGAAAGACGGGAGCGCCATAAAGAGCAAGCAGCAGTTCCGGGGTTGGTCTAGGGTTCAGGGTTCAGGGTTTATAGGGCTTAGGGTTGTTCAGGGTTTAGGGTTTAGGGTTTAGGGTTTAGGGTTTAGGGTTTAGGGTTTAGGGTTTAGGGCTCCTGGCTGTCGGAAGGACTACCGGACTTCCTTCTCCTACTTCTACGAGGGCTTCGAGGCGTACCATCAGTCGAACTCGACTGCCAAGGCCCTGTGGCGGAGTCCACGGAAACCCGCCTTGAATCCCTTGAATCCCTTGAATCCCGTGAATCCCTTGAATCCCTTGAATCCCCTGAATCCCTTGAATCCCTTGAATCCCTTGAATCCCTTGAATCCCTTGAATCCCTTGAATCCCTTGAATCCCTTGAGTCCCTTGAATCCCTAAATCCCTACATCCCTGAACCCTAAACCCTTGAAACCCTAAATCCCTACATCCCTGAACCCTAAACCATCGAGGCGCGAAAGCCACGAACAAAAACTCCTCTGAGCCCTATACCTTAAGCTTTCTTCACCCAAGTCCCTCTTATTAAGTTACTTTCGAAGCTTGAATGGGGCACATGACTTGCGCAGGACAACCCTGATGCAAACCCTAAACCCCCGAAAAGCCCTACGCCCCACGAACCCTAAGCCCTGCAACCCTCGCATTCAACCTTCCTTGCCCTCAGCCCATAGGCCTCCATTCTTAGGCCCAACTGCGTTCCAGAGGTTTCGGGTGTAGGGTTTAGGGTTTACAGATAGAACACAGTGAAGTTGACGTTAGCGTTGTTGAACACAGCCGTCGCTACGTCAAAGCATGTGGCGGGGGTGCTATTTAGTGGGCGCGGTTTGGTTGCATACCAAAGCGCGCCCACCCAAATTGGACCGACCCCCAAATCCGACACTCCTAAACCCCTTCAACCCTGAACCCCTTCTGCCCTGATTCCTCAATCTGGCGAGTTTGTGTTTGGGGTTTAGGGTTTAGGGGGCAAACTATTGTGGCCCGCTTACATGTCGTTTTAGGGTTCTGGGTTTATAAATTAGGGCTTGGGCATTCCGGCTACTAGGGGTTTTGGGCCTGACTGCTTTGATTAGGGCATTGGGGGCCTCAGGTTCATTTTGCAGAGTCCTATAAACTTTAGATTTGTGCAAGCCCTTTTAACCTGAGCACGAAACCGTGCGCACGCTGCCACGTTCGCCTCCGCCCAGAGAATAGTCCCACGTAGTCCCTGCGTTCGGTGGGCGCCTCCCTGTACACGAAGCTGTGGCTTCGATGGAGCGCCGTGGTGTGAGGGCCGCCGTGGTGCTGCTGTGCCTTACCCTACACCTACACCACACGTTCGTGCCCATGCCCTCTCCGGCGATCTTCGGCCTGCGGGAGCGGCAACGTGAGCATCGGCGAGGCCTAGCATGTCACTATGCCCATGGCGCTGCAGGCGTGAAGGGCAAGGATGTGGACTTGGAGGAGCTGGCGATGGAGAAGGAACGGGAGGCCGCGGCTGCGGGACTGACCCTTGATAAGCGCCTGGCCAAGCTTCGCAAAGCTGAGGACTTCATCCGATACGCGAAGTCACACGGTGCTTCCGTCGCATCAACGAAGTCGAGGCGCATGCGTATCTCAAAAGATGGTGTTTGGCACGACGTCGCCGGCCAGGGGAGCGGAAAAGAGCTCATGAAGAGCGAGCGCACAAAGATGCTCACGTCGTTCAAGGCCATGGGCATCGCTTTCAAGAGCAAAGCATGAAGCTTCTTGGAACCAGGATTCCAGGATGTTGTCTTTGGCCAAACCCTAAATCCTCGAGGCCCCAAAGAGGCAGATTTTGTACGTTCTTCTACCCACCTCCGCCCTCGCACCACAAGCCCACCTGTGCGCTCTGCAGCACGGTGGACTTGTTGAGTGAGGGGGCTTGGCTGGGGAGTTTCACATGGGGTTGATCTACATTGTGAGCTTTCTTTACTGGGTCTCCGTTGCAGTAAAGATCAGCAAGTTTAGTGTGCTGAAACGAGCCCGTGCTGAAGATCAACCCCGCATTGTTTTGAGTGTCGTGCCTTCCAGAATCTTCTAAAAAGCCGGCAGGACTTCCACCCTAAACCTCAAACCCTAGATCCTAGACCCTAAACCTCAAACCCCGAACCCCAAACTGAAGTGCTCCTGCCCTTTCCAGCCCGGAGCTGTTGCGATCATGTGGTGCATATCCCTAAAGCTCGGGCTTCGGCTTTGTATCCTTTAGGGGGTTCCAAGGGTTTAGGGTTTAGGGTTTAGGGTTAAGGTTTAGGGTTCATGGCATTTAGGTACCTCGGATGCCTTAGGCAAGCTTAGGGGGCCCGAGGGAGCAGTAGGGAGTATTAGGGAACTTTTCGTTACATACACCTCTTGAGTTTTTTTCCTCCAGGAGTTCAGGTTCTCAGGGTTTCAGGATGCCGGGTTTGTGTTGCAAGGGGTGTCTTGCTTTTAGAGGTTGAAGGGTTTCTGGTGGCCAGCAGAGCGACGCACGTGTGCGGAAGAAATGCCATCCTGTTTCCCCGGCAAGGCTGAAAGTGAGGAAAGGATAGCCCTTGACCAGGGGCCATGGGTGCTCTATAGGGATCATTATTAGGTATGTATATGTGCATTTGCGTATTATTCCTTTTTCTTTTGCATGTATATGCATATGTATTTTATATTTTATATGTATACATATACTCGTCAGATTCTAGCAAAAGTCCGAGCCGCCAATCCTCAACCCTGAGCCTTTCGGCCCCACTCCCTGACTCCCCCACAGGAAGCCTCTGCAAGCGCTAAGCCCCAAACGCCTAGGGTTTCCGGGCTTAGGGTTAGTTGAACGGTTCAAGGTGTCCGTGTTTGGGGCTTTTAGGGGCTTGGGCTTGGGGAGGCCCGCACTGCCATGAAGTACATGCTGCTCTCCAAGATCATGTCAAACCAGCCGAAGGCGGGTAACTAGGGTTTAGGGTTTAGGGTTTAGGGTTTAGGGTTTAGGGTTTAGGGTTCAGGAGCCGTAAACTCTAAACCCCCATTTCAAGGTGGTGGGGGTGGGGGCAGCGGTCGGGTGGGGTAGCTCCTAAATCCCCCCTGTATCACCCTGTATCAATTTCGGGGCCCATAGAAGGGTCCCCTTCGTCCCCTGGTAAGCTCTAGGCCCCCTGACACCAGAGGCATCAGAGCATGCTCCTAGAAGGAAACCCTGCTGTTTGGGGCTCTGGGTTTTAGGGTTTTAGGGTTTTAGGGTTTTAGGGTTTTAGGGTTTTAGGGTTTTAGGGTTTTAGGGTTTTAGGGTTTTTAGGGTTTAGGGTTTTTAGGGTTTTAGGGTTTTAGGGTTTTAGGGTTTTAGGGTTTTAGGGTTTTGGAGTTTTAGGGTTTTAGGGTTTTAGGGTTTAGGGTTTAGGGTTTAAGGTTTAGGGCTTACCATGTGTCAATCTCCGCCCGACAAAAGGGGCCTCAGGAGCCGCCAGGCATTTGCAGAACTCCGCAACTTTTTGGGAGTCGGAGTCGGCCTATCAAGCTTGAAGCCCCCAACCCTAAACCCCAAACCCCAAACCCCAAACCCCAAACCCCAAACCCCAAACCCCAAACCCCAAACCCCAAACCCCAAACCCCAAACCCCAAACCCCAAACCCCAAACCCCAAACCCTAAACCCCAAACCCCAAACCCTAAACCCTAAACCCTAAACCCTAAACCCTAAACCCTAAACCCTCCCCAACCCTAAACCATCCCCAGCCTTAAACCATCCCCAGGAAAGTCCTTTAAGCCTTAAGCCCGCAATGGTGGCTTCCAAAATTAAGGTTCCGTTTTTTGGGGTCCCGATTTTAAGGGCCTACTCTTTTTTATGCATTTTTTTTTTTTGGAGGGGGGAGGGGGGGTGGGGGGCTGGTTTAGGGGTCCCATGTTCGTAAGCCCCCAAACCCAACAAGCTAAATCCAAAGACCTGAACTCTCGAAATCCTCCACACCCTGCCCTGGGAGCCTTTCAGCTCAATGTTTACCCCTAAACCCTAAACCCTAGACCCTAAACCCTAAACCCTAAACCCTAAACCCTAAACCCTAAACCCTAGGAGCTGAAGTTGCGGAAGCCGTAGATACCCCTCATATACCCTACAAAACCCAAAGGCTAAGGCTTAGGGTTTCAGCGTTTAGGGTTTGTGGGTTTAGGGTTTAGGGTTTAGGGCTTAGGGCTTAGGGTTTCAGTGTTTTAGGTTTTTAGGGTTTCAGGGTTTAGAGTTTTGAGATTTTACGGTTTTGGGGCCCAGACTTCAGAAACCTTTAACAGGAAGGCAAGGGATCACACCAGTACCCTTAGAGAGCTGAAGCCCCCAAACCCCTTAAACCCTAAACCCCAAGCCCCCGGGCGCTGACTCTTTCCATGAGGTGCCAGTGGATCTGGGAACCCCCAAAATCCTCAGCCCTCAGCCGTCAACCCTGAGCCCTAAACCCCAAACCCAAAAAACCCGGAAAGTTCAGGGTTTCGGGTTCCTGCTGCCCCCCCAAAGCTCCGGTGCGCACAGGAGACCAGCACCATCATCAGCAGCAAGTCGGGCCCCAGCCTCAGCAGACTCGGCGCTTTCGGGGCTTCCCGTGGGCACAGGTCTTTTCTTCAACCTTCTAGCCTCAACCCTAAACCCTAAACCCTAAACCCTAAACCCTAAACCCTCAACCCTCAACCCTCAACCCTCAACCCTCAACCCTCACCCTAAACCCTAAACCCTAAACCCTAAACCCTAAACCCTAAACCCTAAACCCTAAACCTACGCGAGCGACATGCCTCACGGCTTCGCTGCCAAGCTGCTAACGGCGACATAGTGCAGTTGCTTACCCAATGCCGAAGACGGTGCTTTCATGTTGTGTTCCTCTGGCAAAGCGATACCTAACCCCGAACCCAATACGCTTACACCTACGTCGACCTTTTGTGGCCCCTTGAGTATTCCCGCGTGCTCTTATGCCCCTAAACCCTAAGCCCTAAACTCCTTACACTCCACTTTCGGCCCCCCGCTCAACCTGCTAATAAACATGAGCTTTCGTTTCAGGGGCAGATACCATGAAAACCCCGAGCCCCAGACCCCAAAATCGAACACTTAAACCCTACGCATCCTAAACCCCAAACCCTAAACCTAAAACCTGAACCCTAACATCCCTAGTCGTTTCAAACCACCGAGCCCCCAACCCTAGTATACTAGGACCCAGAGTAGGCCCTGGGTCCTTATTCCCTCTTCGGGTTTAGGGTTTTGGGTTTGGGGCTAGGACCCAGAGTACGCCCGTATTTCCTTTTTGTGGGGTTCAGGTTGCTTTGTAAAGCCCCTGTAAACCAAAAAGGACACCCTTTTATTCCTAGGTTCCGTCTTGGGCCTAGTATTCTAAGGTACCTGAGTATGGACCCTTTAAAAGGGGACCCCCTTACGTACCCCGTATATACCCTATGCAACCCAAGGGCCCATGCATCAGAACCCCGTTAAAGGACCATATTAAGGGCCCATGAAACTTCCTTTGCAACCCTAAACCCTAAACCCTAAACCCTAAACCCTAAACCCTAAACCCTAAACCCTAAACTCTGTAACCCTGTAACCCTGTAACCCTGTAACCCTGTAAACCCTAAACAGGGCTCCCGTAGAATTATAGAAGTATATCTCCCTTCTCAGGTCTCCAATACGTTGGTCCGGAGATCGATGCCATGGCCGCTGTCGCAAGCGCCCATGAGGCGCTTGCACGGCAGGGTAGGGTTTGGGGTTTAGGGTTTAGGGTTTGGGGTTGAGGGTTTGGGGTTGAGGGTTAGGGTTCAGGGTTCAGGGTTCAGGGTTTAGGGTTTAGGGTTTAGGGTTTAGGGTTTAGGGTTTAGGGTCTAGGGTTTACCCTTGCGCCGAAAACATCCGGAAACCAGGTAAAGCCCAAAACCTTAGGAAGAATCCCCGTGAACGAAAGGAGAGCCCCCAACCGAACCCTTCAAATCCCAAAGCCCCTAAGACGAAACCCAACAAGAGCGCTAAACCTCCGGAAGCCACCGCGAGCGTTGGTTTAAGGTTTAGCAGCACCCGGAATATCCCGAAACCCCCTCTCACCCTAAACCCCAAACCCTAAACCTTATAAACACCATCACCCCAAACCCCAAACCCCAAACCCCAAACCCTAAACCCTAAACCCTAACCCTAAACCCCAAACCCTAAACCCCAAACCCTAAACCCCAAACCCCAAACCCCAAACCCCAAACCCCAAACCCCAAACCCTAAACCCTAAACCCTAAACCCATTGGAGCCAGGCCCGGTCCCTCAAGAAATTCGAAGCGGTCCTCGAGCAGCACAAGCAGCAGCTTTCCGAGGACTCCGGGGCCACGAGGGATGTTCAGGGGTTTAGGTGTTTAGGGTTTGGGGGGTCTAAGGGTGAGTTGAACTCTTTCAACTTTAGGGTTTGGGGTTTAGGGTTTGAGGTTCAGGGTTTAGGGTTTGGGGTTTAGGGTTTAGGGTTTGGGGTTTAGGGTTTGGGGTTTAGGGTTTAGGGTTTGAGGTTTAGGGTTTAGGGTTTGGGGTTTAGGGTTTGGGGTTTGGGGTTTGGGGGCCATTGGAGAAGTAAGTTGAAAGGGCATGTTCAGGGGTTTGGAGTTTTAGGGTTTGGGGTTTTAGGGTTTGGGGTTTGGGGTTTAGGGTTTGGGGTTTAGGGTTTGGGGTTTAGGGTTTGGGGTTTAGGGTTTGGGGTTCAGGGCTTTGGGTTCAGGGGTTTGGGGGTTGCGGGTTAGGGTTTGGGATTAAGGGTTTAGGGTTTGGGCCCTTGACCCCATGCTTGCTCGTCTGGGGGCCCAGGGTTGCCGGGTTTCGTGAAAGAGGAGGTTGAGATTAGGGTGCAGGGTTCAGGGTTTAGGGTTTAGGTTAGGGTTTAGGGTTTAGGGTTTAGGGCTTAGGGTGTAGGGTTTAGGGTTTAGGTTGAAGCCCTATCCCCCCCCCCCCTGCCCCCCAAGCCCTTCGCAGGTTTAGCCCTAACCCCTAAGCTCTGAATGTTCAAGGCTTTGGCACGGAATTGTGGCCCTGCTGCTTACCCTAAACCTAGGCCCTAATCCTTCAATCCGGAAACTCCACTCCACCACCTCCGAGCTCCAACCCTCAGTCGCTCTATATGGGATTGATCGATAGTGTGGGTCCTTCCTGGTGCCCATAATTATAGGCTTTCTTGGGATCCTCCGGAAACAAGGCGGAGTTTAGACTTTTGATCAACCCCAGGCAATGCCCCTAACCCCCCCAGATCTTGAACCGAGGACCCAATCATCCAATTTCACCTCTCAGACCTCAATGAGACGCTGCTTGAGCAGAACATCCTTAGGCGCGGCCATGAGTGCGATTCCTCAGGGGCTGCTGTTGCTTGCAGGGTTCAGTCGCTATGTTTTCTTTCATAATCCTGTCCCCCCCCCTTCTCCCCCCCCATCACCACCCCTAGCAGTAAATAGTCCCAAGAAAGTATATTCATGCAATATTCGAATGCTTTATAGCTGTGCGTGGGTTCCGGTCTTCGTGGACTTTTTGGGTTTTTTTTGGGGGGGGGGATGGATGCTAGGTTTTCATTTGCGAGGCCTAACCCTTTGAACCCTACACCCGGAAAACATTATACCGAGGCTCCCATCGTTTCTTCCTGGGCTGCGGGGAAACCGGTTCTACGTAGGGAATTCGGTACTTCGGTTCCCTATCCCCCCTTACAGGGTCTACTTGGAAGCCCTTTTGACTTAGTAAGGTGGCTTTTGGGGATTATATTATTCGGGTTTCTAGGTGATACTAAGTAGGCTTCCTAAGTTCCAACCCTAAGGCTCCATGGACCCTCCTACAGAGGGACTGGTACCTCCTAAGGAGGGTTCTGGGGTCTCAATTCCTAGGGTTTTGAGGGCCCAAGAGCCTTAGGGAAGTGGGGGGATGCAATGTTAGGGCTTAGGGGTTGACGTTTCATGCAAGTACTGACGCTGCCTTGATCGGAGCTCTTGCTTGCGGACGCGTTTTGCGGACAGCAAATGTGGTACAGTAAAAACGCTGTATAAGAAAACGGTTTTCCGGCGATAGGGTACCCTAAGTTTCTTAGTTTCCATTACCCGTGTACCCGGGGGGGTTTGAGCCTAGGGTAAGCTTGGTTTCTAAACTGATTTCTTCAGGGAGTATACTAGACCAAACCCATGTTCCAGGAATGGTGGTGGGAAGGGTTCCCGAATGTGACTCCCGCGCGTTTTGGGGTAGGGTCAGGCCGCAGGCGCGGGGGAGTCACGTTTTAGAGCTTTTCAGGGCTGAAAACCTCTAGAATGTGACTCCCGCCTGTTTTTGGGGTAGGGTCAGGCCCGAGGCGCGGGGGAGTCACGTTTTAGAGCTTTTCAGGGCTGAAAACCTCTGGAATGTGACTCGTTTTTGGGGTAGGGTCAGGCCGCAGGCGCGGGGGAGTCACGTTTTAGAGCTTTTCAGGGCTGAAAACCTTTAGAATGTGACTCCCGCCTGTTTTTGGGGTAGGGTCAGGCCCGAGAGAGCTTTTCAGGGCTGAAAACCTCTAGAATGTGACTCCCGCCGCGTTTTGGGGTAGGGTCAGGCCGCAGGCGCGGGGGAGTCACGTTTTAGAGCTTTTCAGGGCTGAAAACCTCTAGAATATGACTCCCGCGCGTTTTTGGAGTAGGGTCAGGCCCGAGGCGCGGGGGAGTCACGTTTTGGAGCTTTTCAGGGCTGAAAACCTCTAGAATGTGACTCCCGCGCGTTTTTGGGGTAGTGCAGGCCGCAGGCGCGGGGGAGTCACGTTTTAGAGCTTTTCAGGGCTGAAAACCTCTAGAATGTGACTCCGGGTCAGGCCCGAGGCGCGGGGGAGTCACGTTTTAGAGCTTTTCAGGGCTGAAAACTTCTAGAAGGTGACTCCCGCCGCGTTTTGGGGTTGGGTCAGGCCCGCCCGAGGCGCGGGGGAGTCACGTTTTAGAGCTTTTCAGGGCTGAAAACCTCTAGAATGTGACTCCCGCGCGTTTTTGGGGTAGACCCGGGAGGTGTTGCGGGAAGAATTTTTTTAGAAACTGACCTCAAAACACTAGGGCACCCTAAGTTTCTTAGCTAGAAGGCAACCGCAAATCGACCAATATTCCGGGGTCTAGGGGCTCAGTTTCTTAAACAGTGGTTTCTTATACAGTGGTTTTACTGTAGTGGGAATGCGTACCGATGAGACTTCTCTTGGATTCTTCGGACGTGCAGGGTTCGAGAGTCATGCCAGGGCAGAAGCAAGCAAGGCTGCCAATCTCATCACGCACAGCAAAAAACCCCAGCGGCACGCTTATCAGTGACAGGATGGTGGCTTCACACGTTAAAGGAGATGCCGCCCACATGTGCCTTGAAACATTGACATGTGCCAACGCCGATTTGGCCAAATCATCTGCGCCTGACAAGAGGTGGTGCATTCGCGAGGCAAGTGCACGCATCAAGCGGCTTTACCTCACATCCTTGCAGAGACAAACACCGGACAGATTGATAAGACTTGGGGCCAGTCATGTGGTTTGGAGCTTCGGGCTTTGAGGTATCTCATTCTCTGATTCCCTGATTGCCTACATTTAAAACCCTAGTCCCTAGCAAGAGCCAGCGAAGTAGCAGCCTCTGCAAAGGATTTGTTCAGTTCAAGTCCTGTGAATGCCGAGGCTCTTTGAGAAGAACATGTCTGCACCCCCCCCCCCCCCTCCCCCCCCCCCCCCCCCCCCTCCCCCCCCCCTCCCCCCCCACCCTCCCCCCCCCCCCCCCTCCCCCCCCCCCCCCTCCCCCCCCCCCCCCCCAACGGTGTAGGGGGGGTCCAGGGTTTTCTTTGGGATCTTTGCTTGGCATCCAAGTTCAGTGTCGTCCAGGGTTTAGGGTTTAGGGAGCCTTGATCCGCCAGGCCCCCCCGCCCTCCCCCCCCCCCCCCCCCCCACCCCCTTACGGGGTTTAGGGTTTAGGGTTTAGGGCTTAGGGTTTAGGGTTCCTTGGCAATCCTTGCACCCCCTTGAGCCACAACTTCAAGCTCTCGAGCCCCAGAATCCCGTACCCTAAGCCTACGCCCTATAAGCCCTATAGGCCCTATAGGCCCTATAAGCCCTAAGAGCCCTAAAAGCCCTAAACCCTAAACCCTAAACCCTAAACCCCAAGCCCTGCAAGCCGTCTTTAAAGCCTCAAGGCTCCTGAGCCTTTCAGGCCCCTGAGCGCTAAACCCCGCAACGCCTCTGTAGTTGCAAGCCCATGCCCAACTCTGAGAGGGTTTAGTGTTTTAGGGGTCAGGCTTGTAAGGTTGGCGTGGTTTTGTTGTGTTAAGGACTCTCGCTTTAGCTTTTAAAGCTGTTTGAACCCCAAAGCGTGCCAGGATATTGGAGCCCTTCAGCCGCGTGGAGTTTGCCGGCAGCACCCGAGAGACCCTAAAGGCTCTAAACCCTGTAAACCGCTAAGCCCCGCCAAAGCCCTAATACCTAAACCCTCAGCCCCTAAGCCCCTCAGCCCTAAACCCTCAGCCCTGAGCCCTGAACCCTAAACCCAAAACCCTAAACCCTAAACCCTAAACCCTAAACCCTAAGCCCTAAGCCCTAAGCCCTAAGCCCTAAGCCCTAAGCCCTATTTCCTAAGCCCTAAACATGAAGCCCTAAACTTGAACCCCAAATCCTTCAAGTTGTGGAGGTTCCAGTTGAACGTGCCGTTCTAAGCTTTGGGCTTTTAGGGACCCTGCAGTTCGGTTCGCACATGGGTGTTTTGCAACATAGTGGTAACCTTCAGCTAGGACCCAGAGTGGGTCCTTATTCCTTTTGTTGTTTTGTCCTTTTTGAAGGTTTCTGGTTTAGGGTTTAGGGATTAGGGTTTAGGGTTTAGGACTAGGACCAAGAGTAGGCCCTTGTTCCCCTTGCTGGGGGCTTAGGTTCCGTGGTAATAAGCCCCTTTAAACCAAAACGGGCACCCTTTCTATTCCTAGGTTACGCCGCGATGTCGTCAGTGCCCTTCGGGGGTCATAGTCATAGTAAGGGTTGAGGGTTTTAGGTGTTTGGGAGGTTTAGGGTGTAGGGCCGGGTTGAACGAATGTTTGGGGTTAGAAGGGTTCTCATGATTGAGGAGGCTTCTGTAATGGCCATTGTGGGGGATTGTAATCTTTGGGGGCGGCTATGTTAGGGGGCAGGGCCCCCACCCAAACCCTAAACCCTAAATCGGAGACCCCTAGCCCTAAATCCTAAGGATCAATTGAACCCTAAATCCCAGACCCTAAAAACCCTAACTCTACCCTGAACCCGAAACACCCTAAACCCCTAAACCCCTAAACCCTAAACCCTAAACCCTAAACCCTAAACCCTAAACCCTAAACCCTAAACCCTAAACCCTAAACCCTAAACCAAATAAGATACTCGAATTGGGCACTTGCCGGCCCAGGATCAGCCACGTGGCGGAGCTCATCGAGCTGCCCGTAGTCCGGACTCAGGCCCATCCTGGGTTTAGGGTTTAGGGTTTAGGGTTTAGGGTTTAGGGTTTGGGGTTTAGGGTTTGGGGTTTAGGGTTTAGGGTTTGGGGTTTAGGATTTAGGTTTTGGGGTTTAGGGTTTAGGGTTTGGGGTTTAGGATTTAGGGTTTGGGGTTTGGGGTTTAGGGTTTAGGGTTTGGGGTTTAGGGTTTGGGGTTTAGGGTTTAGGGTTTGGGGTTTAGGGTTTGGGGTTTGGGGTTTAGGATTTAGGGTTTGGGGGTTAGGGGTTTAGGGTTAAGGGTTTAATTCGGGTTCAGGGTGTAGGGCTGATGGGATGGCAGGGACAGGGCTTTTACTGTTTGAGGCTGGAATGCGGGCCTCGTTCCGGTGGACGTCATGGCGAGCTGAGGGATGTTTTCATAAACTTCTGGCACCCAGATTTCATGGGCTTCCCTACTAACCCCTCCCTAAATAGCCCGAATTATGGTGGAACTTTTGGGGGTAGTAGGGGAACCCATGAAGATTGACTTTGTCCTTACTTGCCGCTTCCGATCGAGCGCGCCATGGACAGCTGGCGCGACGGCGCGCGGACATGGAGGATCGGATCCAGGTCGCAAAAGAGCACGAATGGCAGAGGAGGACCAGGCGGACGAATTCTCTGTGCTGAATCCGAACTCGGTACCCTCCCGATTTAGAAGCCCCGTGTCTGCAACTGAACAACCAGACGCCCCAGACGCCTCTGGCCGCCCCCTAAACCCTAAACCCTGAACCCTGAACCCTAAACCCTAAACCCTAAACCCTAAACCTCGACTCAATAGTCCTGCTGAAAAGGGGAGGTGGTGGAAGACCCTCGGCTGCCTCGGTCGTGACGACGAAGCGCCATTGAGGTTTTGGGTTTGGGGTTTAGGCTTAGTGCCGTTTAGGGGTAGGGTTTAGGGTTTAGGGGTTAGGGGTTAGGGGTTAGGGGTTAGGGGTGAGGGGCCGCAACACCCTACACATGGGGCTTAGGTCCCTGGAATCCCTAGACCCTGAACCCCAAACCCTGAACCCTAAACCCTAAACTCTAAACCCTAAACCCTAAACCCTAAGCCTTAAGCCCTAAACCCTAAACCCTAAACCCTAAACCCTCAGCCAGGCCAAGCTCAGCGAGATGATTCTCGACCAGAAGTTGAACGGCACGCTGGACCAAGGCCAATGTTCCGGCTTAGGGTTTAGGATTTGGGGTTTAGGGTTTAGGGTTTAGGGCTTAGGGTTTAGGGTTTAGGGATAGGGTTCAGGGTTCAAGCTTAGGCTTTCCGGTTGAGGGTTCGGGGTTTCAGGTTTAGGGTTTACGTAGAGGGTTTAGTTTTCCAATGTTGGATTTAGGGCTTCATCATTTTTTTTGGGTTTCGGGTTTTCGGTTTTGGTTTGGGTTGAGGGCTTTTTTTGGTTCAGGGTTTCATGGGGTAGTTTCATGGGCCCTTCGCATGGTCTCCTAACTCCCTTAAAAGGTTCTGATGTATGGGCCCTTCATTTGTGTGGATTTAAAGGGTTCCCCTTCTATGGGCCCATACTGGACCATGAAACTACCCTACGAAAAGACCTAAACCCTGAACCCTAAAACCCTGAACCCTGAACCCTGAACCCTAAACCCTAAACCCTAAACCTTAAACCCTAAACCCTAAACCCTAACCCCCTGGCAGAGAATACCTCGGAGCATGTTGCCGCGGGGTATCTTTCAGGGTTTAGGGTTTTGGGTTTAGGGTTTAGGGTGTCGACTGCCGAGTCCTGGTCCCAGCGTTTTGGGCTTGGCTGAGGCTGAGGCATAGGCCGTAGCCCTAACTCCTGTTTGCAGGTTTAGGGTTTAGGGCTAGGGTTTAGGGTTTTGGGGTTTAGGGTTTAGGGTTTAGGTTTTGGGGTTCAGGGTTCAGGGTTTAGGGTTTAGGGTTTAGGGTTTAGGGTTTAGGCTTGTAGGAAGTTTTGGGCTCTAGGAAGTGCAGGGTTTTTAGGGTGGGCTTAAAGGGCTTATGGGGCTTACAGGGTTTGTTGGGTTTATCGGGTTTAGTGATGGGGTTTACAGGGCTCAGGCTTGAGTGGGTTTAGAGTTTCGGCTGAAGGGTTTAGGGTTTAGGGTTTGGGGTTCAACGTATCGGGCTTACGGTATAGGGCTCAGGGTTTCTATGTAGGACCTTGGGACAGGATCTTACTTGGGCAATACTCTGGTTATCGGAGGGTTGAGGGGGCCAACCCTAAACCCTAAAACTTCCGGTTTAGGGTTTAGGGTTTGGGGTTTCAGTTAAACCCTGGTCAGGCGTTGGTGTTCTCATCGTCTACGACGAGGAGCAGGTCCCTGTCTGTACTATTGCCCTGATGCCTTTGTCTCAAACTCCCTATAAGCCCTTAACCACCCGAAACCCGAAAATCTCTATAGCTTACCTTACCTAACCCTAAAGCCAAAACCCTATTACTATGCCCTATTCCGAGACATGTGTGGTGTACTTACGTTTATGATGGTGCAACGCAGCGGGCTCGTGAACCCTCAACCCTCAACCCTCAACCCTCAACCCTCAACCCTCAACCCTCAACCCTCAACCCTCAACCCTCAACCCTCAACCCTCAACCCTCAACCCTCAACTCTAAGCTAAACCCTAAACCCTCAACCCTAAACCCCAAACCCTAAAGCCTCTTGTCGCAAGCTCCACGAAGCCTCTGGTCCAAGCACCCCTTCATCAGGGCCCCAGGGCATCCCGCGCACCATTCTTCTTAAACCCTAAGCCCCGAACCCTCACCCTAAATCCCAAACCCTAAACCCTAATCGCTCACCCTAAACCCCAAACCCTAAACCCTAAACCCTATGACCCTATACCCTAAACAGGTCAGCTCCACGTACGAGAATTCGCTCAAGACGATCAAGAACACTGCAGAGGCCTCCGTCAGCCCTTGCCAAGGGTTGTTGCGGCTGTGCAGGATGACTCTTAAGCCCAGGTTTAGGGTTTAGGGTTTAGGGTTGAGGGTTTAGGGTTTAGGGTTTAGGGATCCAGGTAAGCCCAAACCCCAACCCTAAACCCCAATCCCGAAACTCCCGAAGAAGGCTATTTCAACCCAGTCCGCGCCTCAGGCTTGACATTGCCTTAGGATCCTGACTCCCCAAACCCTAAACCCCACACCCTACACCCTACCCTAAACCCTAAACCCTAAACCCTAAACCCTAAACCCTAAACCCTAAACCCTAAACCCTAAACCCTAAACCCTAAACCCTAAACCCTAAACCCTAAACCCTAAACCCTAAACCCTAAACCCTAACCTAAACCCTAAACCCTAAACCCTAAACCCTAAACCCTAAACCCTAAACCCTAAACCCTAAACCCTAAACCCTAAACCCTAACTAAACCCTAAACCCTAAACCCTAAACCCCTAAACCCCTAAACCCCTAAACCCTAAACCCTAGTGGAGTTTGGGGCGCGGGATCCCGGGCTTTTGGGGAGTCTCGTCCCTGAACTCTAAACGCCAGACCTCGTGGGATTATACCTTGGATCCCTAACGTCCCTAAGGTTGTACCCCTGAGTTTGTAAACCCTAAACCCTAAACCCTAAACCTTAAACCCTAATCCCTAAACCCTAAAGATATTCTAAGGGAATGACAGGGCCACGTTGGGAGAATGTCAGGGGAAACGGGGTACATCCGTAGGGACTCCCTTGACTGCGAACACAAAATTTTAAGTTCCTAAACCCCAAGAGTTTAGGGTTTAGGGTTCAGGGTTCAGGGTTCAGGGTTTAAGGAAGGTGAACAGAGAGGATTTGGGATTTAAGGTGCAGCGTTTAGGGGATCTTGTGTTGACTTCAGAGGTTTGTGGTTCAAAGGTTTAGGGTTTATGGTTTAGGGTACAGGGTTTATCGAGTTACGGTACTTACATGGTCCCTTATTCCCTTCGTTAGGGTTCCTCGGAAGCCCTTTAAACCAAAAAGGGCAAGGTTTTTCGTGGGTCTAGTTTCAATGGAGACCCCTTAGACTCCTTATAGAACCCTTATACATAATATATCGTATATAACATATATAATATATAGTATATAATATATAATATATAATATATATATATATATTATAGAATATATAATGTATAATATAGAGTCTACAATATATGATATAATTATAGTATACAATATACAATATATAATACATAATATAAGATATATAGTATATAATATATAATATATAGTATATAATATGCAATATGTAGTATATAACATGTAATATATAACATGTAATATATTATATATTATATATCATATACAATATATACGCATATATATATATAGTATCCTATACAACCCAAGTGCCCATGCTTCTGAACCCTGTAAAGAAGGTAAGGGAAAATATTAAGGGCCCGTGAAACTACTCTTAGATTCATGGCATATAAGCTGGGCAGGCCCTTGGGTGATGTCATGTTTGCTCTTGCTGGGTTTAAAGGGATCTGTTTTTTCAGAGGCTTTACAAGGCCAACGTAGTAAGGTACTAAGGCACTTCATTCACTCATATCCTAAAATGCTTCTTATTGGAATCCCCAACAAGGTTACTCCTGGCTTTTGGAAGCCCTTATACGTTTACGGCTAAAGGCTTTGGCGTTGTGTTCTAGGGCTTCTGAAGGCTAATGAAGTCCTAAACCCAGGTTTGTATAAGATAATAGGTACTAGGGTGAAGCGCCGCTTTCAAGCGTTCCTCCTTGTATCATTGTCTTCCCCTACCGGTCCATGTACCTGATTATTGTACACTTGGGCCCCAAACTCCCGATATCAGAAGTAAATTAAGGCCCGAGTATTCCCGATTTAGGCACATGGACCCTTGGGTTTAAGCAGAGTCTTATCAACCTTAGCCCCCTAAACCCTAAACCCTAAACCCTAAACCCTAAACCCTAAACCCTAAACCCTAAACCCTAAACCCTAAACCCTAAACCCTAAACCCTAAACCGAGATTCTCAGCCCCAAGCCTGGCAGGTGTTGGACACCCTCTACGCTCAAGCGAAGCAGCTCACATAAGGACGCCACGTGACATCTTGAACGCGCCGCAGCCCCGAACCCGGAAAACCCAAAGTCCCTAAACCCTACATCCCTAAACCCTAAATCCCTAAACCCTAAATCCCTAAACCCTAAATCCCTGAACCCTAAATCCCTAGGCCCTTAACCCTATCTCTGCCCCCCCTGCGAGTCCTTGATGCACCGGAAGTGTATGGGTGTGAAGCTTTCCCAAAGCCCTACGATCCATGCGGGTGGTTGTCAAAATTATGGTCCCTTTTTGGATCCCTATTATAGTACGGGACATAATATTTAGGGTACCCCAAAGGGGATTATAATTTCGACAGCCACCCATGTAAATTCTTGAAGAGGGTTTAAGATCCAAGGTTTTGGGGTGAAGAGCCTCCCCCCCTCCCTGCCAAACCCCAGGGCTGATGTGCCTCCAGCCTGGTAATTTTGTTTCTCAAGCCTAGGCTTTAGGCTTTAGGGTTTAGGGTTTAGGGTTTGGGGTTTAGGGTTTAGGGTTTAGGGTTTAGGGTTTTGGGTTTAGGGTTTAGGGTTTAGGGGATAGGGTTTAGGAATTCGGGTTTGGGGTTTAGGGTTTAGGGTTTCGGCCACGCTTTCGCCCCCAGAAGCCTCAAACCTGAAACCGCAGCTTGCTCCCGTTCAGGAGCCCTAACCACGGCAGTACAGCGAAAGCCAGGGAGAAGCGCTGGCCTAACTCAACAAGCTGGAAAAGTAGGGTTTCAGGGCTTAGGGCTTGGCAGAATGATCTTAGACTCAGCCCTGAACTTTGAGCAGGTCGGGTTTCAGGGAATGTGCTAAAAAGCACTTAAACCCTAAATTACTTGCACCCCAAAACCTAAACACTGAAACCCTAAAAGAATGCGCTAGCTAGACTGATTCCCGCAGACTATAACGTGCGCGGCTCACAAACGAAAGCGCTTACAGGTTTAGGCATTTAGGGTTTAGGGTTTTGGGTTTTGGGTTGTGGGTTGTGGGTTTTGGGTTTGGGGTTTTGTTTGGGCGTTTAAGGGATGGTTTAGGGCTTGAGGGATTTAAGGGCCTTGGGGGTTTTAGGTCTTTTTGGGGCTTTAGGATATTCAGGGCTTTAGGGTTTTTAGGGTTTTAGGCCTTAGGGACCCATACCGAGCACCGAACCTCACAAGGCACAGGGCTCACACGGGGGGAGGGGGAGGGGGAGGGGAGGCTAACCCTAACCCTAAGACTAGAGGCGGGCCTCTACATGAGATTCCTTGCGCACAGGTGCCACCCCAAAAGCGAGTCTAGTCTTGAACACCCCCCCCCCCCTCTCCCCCTCCCCCCTCCGCCGCCCCCCCCCCCCCCCCCCCCCCCCCCCCCCCCCCCGCTCCCATGCGGCGGCTCGCTCTTGTTTTTTCGGAAGAAGGATGAGTAGGATCCTCCCATACACGTGATTACAGGCACCTACTTCCCTCATTCCCGATAAAGAACTAGCAAGAAGGTGCTTAAGCCCAAAGCCTGGGGTTTGACATTCACCCGACACTCACCAGGTTTAGGGTTTTTGATAGGGGTGAGGGTTTAGGGTTTAGGGTTTGAGGGCACCAGCTCGGGGTTCGGCGCAAGGCCCTTCTGGAAGGCCTATTATGGGTATTTCTGAGGGTTACCCCAAGCCTCCATGTGCATCGTGACTTTGGGGCCCAGGTCGATCTACTCAGGTGCACGTACCCTCCGGGTTTTAAGTAGGGTGTCTATAGCCCAGTTGGGTAATTCGGTGCAGTATGAGTGTCATACAAGAGGGCTTGTTCAAGCCCGATACTCATTAGATGAGGCCCATACAGACAGCAAGTACTCGCCCTTAACTGTCCTTCATCTGTGTAGGGTATCATCAGTATTGACCCACTCAAACTCAGCTCACGACCTATAATCCTACGCGTAGCCAGAGGTGCACCTGTTAGTAGACCTAAACGGGGTTTTCGGGGTTTAAGGTTGAGGGGTGTAGGGGTGGAGGGGGGGGGACCCTAAACCCAAAACCCTTAACATGGCCCTCTGGGAATCTAAGGACCATGTTCGGGGGGGGTCTCAGGTCTAGGACTCCCGAAAGACTGCCCCGGTGACCTATACCCATCCCATGTTTTCTTTAGGGCTTAGGGTTTAGGATTTAGGGATGATGGTACTGGGGTTTACTCGCAACTGCCGCGTCTGAACTCCGATGGCGTCTGTCATCCGCACCGTAGCGGCTAATGCTGTCCGATGTTGAAGAGCGAGCTCAGCATTCTACAGCAGTCAGCTGCTCTGCCCCGAAGCCCTGACTAAGCCCCTAAGCCCTGGCTACTAAATTTACACCTCTTCCCGCCGACCCTCTCTCCACCCCCCGGCATCGTTCCCCCGAAGTAAGCTTAGTTGCCTCAATCCTCAACCCTTAACCCTAAACCCCAAACCCTAAACCCTAAACCCTGAACCCCAAATACCCAAAGCCCCACATTTGAATCCTTTGATTGCTGGTTTGGCCCAGACTGGCTCAAACCAAGCACCCTCCTTTTGTGGCAGTGAGGTGCAGGTGCCGCGGCCCAGGCTTGAGAATTAGCGCTTCGGGTTTAGGGTTTGGGGTTTAGGGTTTGGGGTTAGGGTTGAGGGTTTAGGGCTTCGGGTTTAGGGTTTGGTGTTTAGGGTTTAGGGTTGAAATTAGGTTTGGGGTTTCGGGTTTCAGGGTTCAACGTCTGAGGGGGTAGTTCAGCAAAATTGGCCCTGGATCCCAAAAGCTCCTACAAACGCATAGCCATGAAAAGATAAGATCTGTATGTTTATAGATGTATACATATATATATATATGTGTATGTTGATTTGGAGATAAGCCATGCAGTTAAGCTCCATGTGCCTGTAATTAAGCTCTACAAGTCCCATCCAGTTAAGCCCCCTAGAAGCCCTGGACATCCCTTCGGCGCAAGTTTGGCGTGCCCACTTCCATGGCTTCTTTCACTGAGCTTCAAGAAGCCACGGCAAGTCGCGCATGAGCCCCTTACCCTAAGGGCCCATGTGCCTCCATGGTTTGTACTTGGGCCCCAAAGCTGCTACATAGGCACCGCTTTCAAGGCCCAAGTATTATACATACATATATATATATATGTATATATATATATAGAGATATGTATATATATATATATAGGAATAGGAACATGGACCCTTGGAGTTAAGTCCAGGGCTTCCGTAGGTTATGACTTGAGGGTGCCCTAAACCCCCACCCAGGACCCGCGCGATGTCCTCCTCTAACTCCGGCTTCGAGAACTTCCTGACCGCAATGCAGGGAACGCAGGATCGCCACGCCGGGGGCCCTGGCTCGGTGTGGGGTTGTTAGGGTTTAGGGTTTAGGGTTTAGGGTTTAGGGGTTTAGGGTTCAGGGTTGAGGGTTGCGGGTTAGGTCTACGGTTTAAGAGCTTCAAACCCTAACTAAACCCTGAGGGTGCCTATTAGAGTTTATGGCCAAAGGTTCCTCAAGGTTCTGGCTTGGGGGAGGCCAAGAGTTTCTAGAGGTCTGGCTTTTCTTGCGCCCCTAATCCCTGAGACCCCAAACCCGAGGTTTGCGGTTTAGGGTTTAGGGCTAGGGTTTAGGGAAACCCTGACCCTTATTTCAGGTAGAAGCTCAATGAGCTTCTTTTTGTCTTAGGCATGCCTGCACCCTCGAACCCTGGAACCCTAGACCCCTAAACTCTAAACCCTTGAACCAGGGTTTAGGGTTTAGGGTTTAGGGTTTAGGGTTTAGGGACCCTAGAACCCCAGAACCCTAGAACCCTAAACCCCAAGCCCCAAACCCTGAATCCGCAACTCCGACACAAGGCGGCCACCTACTACTGCTTCGGCACGGCTCGGGGCCCTACAGGTCGAAACGCTGGGGTTTAGGGTTTAGGGTTTAGGGTTTAGGGTTTAGGGTTTAGGGTTTAGGGTTTAGGGTTTAGGGTTTAGGGTTTAATGTTTCATCTCTGCTGTCCGAGGCCACAAACTATATCAGCTGCAGAAAGAGTTCATGGTTCGGGCTTGGTAGCTATTTCGGCTTAGGGTTTATTAGGGTTTAGGGTTTAGGGTTTAGGGTTAGTATGCCGGAGCCCTTGCACTACAGCCCCGACAGGGACCAAGCTAATTAGGACCCTCCGCTTGTGTGCTGGAAAGATCTCACGCTCTGATCCTTCGTTCTTTGGGTTTAGGGGTCTCGGATTCGGGTTAAACTTTGTTTGTTTTGCCCTGTCGTTCGGTAGTCAAGGTTCTGTGTAGCAAGGCGAGCTTGGTGTAACTAGATCTGCCTGAGAATGTGAAAGGCCCTCACGTTGTCCTACAAGTAGTGGCCCGCCATGTTATACGGAGGGTTCTAAGGGCTTGAAATTGGGTTATGTTTCTTATTATCTTGGTTACAAGTCCCGTAAGTAAAGTTAGTTGAGGATAAGGGGCCCCTACTTGTGGCCGGCATGAAGTTTCGGTCGTCCTGGTGCCAGAAGTGCTGTGGTTTCAGGGATGTCACAGAGCTGTTTAGGGTTTTGGGTTTAGTAAGGTAGGGTTTGGGGTTTAGGGCTTAGGGCTTAGGGCTTAGGGCTTAGGGCTTAGGGCTTAGAGCTGAGGACGACAAGGACAAGCTGGTGAACCCTGCTGAGTCGTTCAATCAGTCCGGATCACAGATTGCTTCCCTGCACCCCTACTTGACCGGTTTAGGGTTTAGGGTTCAGGGTTTAGGGTATGGGTTTAGGGTTTAGGGTATGGGTTTAGGGTTTAGGGTTCATGGAAGTTTTGTTGCCACAACTATAGGTCTACTTATAACCTACTTAGAGGACTTAGGGGCTTTGTAAGTGCAGTTATAATTGGGGGTATAAGTACCCTGAACCTCCAAGTACCTAGCCTGTAGGGGTGCCACTAGGACATAGGGTTCGGGGCCTAGGGTTTAGGGTTTAGGGTTTAGGGTTTAGGGTTTAGGGTTTAGGTATCTACAAGTAGGGGCCCCTGATAGCAGCCCAAATAAAGTCACTTACAACCCACTTTCGAGCGCTTATAACTTGGGGTTC